CATGCTCGCAGAGGTGTTTCAACAAATGTCTGACCACTTCTTAGTCATTCCCAACAGGCAACGATAGCTTTTTGTCCAGCGTTGTCTTGCTAAATCAGCCGAATGCGTTTGTCTCTACAATAAAAGACCCACGGAGGAAACTCAGATCGGGTACAGGATTTTCTTTGACATATGTCAAGCTTACGGGAAATAGCAGCCCTACAAGATCTTTCACTCGTCGATCAAACTGCAAATCGGGTTTAATGCTCATGCTATCAGTAGCTAGAGCTGTGGGTATTAAGAACAAGCTTGAACCCTGTGACAGGGTTTGAACTCCACTATCTTCAAGTTTGGAAAGGAGGAGATAGGCAACTAGCAGGCTTTTTATTATTCCATTCCGGGTTGTGTAACCCGCCTTGTTCTTATCACGAGAGGTCTTTGAAGGTACAACGGCCGGGTTCCAATCTTTCCAGCTGAACTGGAATGTCCCACCACGTCCTTGATTTCTGTGCCTGAACGCCTAAACAAATTCTTCGTTTTGGGTTTCCCGTAAAACTCAAGCGTTTCCATGTATATGATAGCTGTTTCATCGTGTTTTCACTGTTCACGTGCATCAGACGACTTCTGCGCGAATTCAAGAGCACTCTTCAAACATCTATAGAACATATGATCTCGATCGAGTTTCTTTGACTCTATTCTTTCTGTAACATGATTACTACGTGGTCAAGGTCCTCCAAAGCCCTTAAAACAAAATTAAATTTATGTCATGCCTATGCACAGAACAAGTATACTAAGCAACCAGTGATTATTTTGCAAAGAAAATATTAGGACTACGAATTCATCCCATCTTATTTTAAATGTAGAGTGCCATTGGGTTAGGGTGCACAAGGGTTAGGGTAATTCGTGCATCTCTGCCGATTCCCGGAGTAGCGTTCCCTATCTGTAAAGCCACATTAATGCTATAAATGACGAATTTCTTTGAGAGTATAGCAAGGAGAATAATATTTCATAAATTTAAATGTTCATGATTATTCGAATACCCGTAACGGACTTCACATTACACATCGTGCTCAGGAACTTACACATGGAAAATTGTACTCGTTGCCTTCAGACTGTCGCTGCTGCCACTGGCTTCTTGCGTGTTTCCCGGTGCACGTCACTCCTGGAAGATATGAACAACGAAAAATGATACATTGTCTTGGAAAAAATCGATCTTCATTTCCTTCCAAACAGTTTGTTTCTTGTATATTTAGTGCCAATCTTCTCACTCAGGTTTTTAACAACGATATATTAACGCATCGGAAACTGTAACAACTTACAGAAGCTACTTCAAAAAAAGAAATAACTAGACCACAACTAACAACTAGTCAATTATCGCCGTCCCTAAGAAGACTGATAATATCAGTCTGTGGGTCTCAGATAATGATGCCTTTCCTCGATCACTTACAGAGTGACGTGGTCTTCTGTAGAAGCCGATTGGATGGCGGCAAACATTGATGCAATGTTGCCACTTTTAATAGAGGACGTTTTACAGATTTGCCAGTTGCCTAGAAAAGATTTATAAAATAAATATGTAATGTACACCAACCCATATAGTTCTCGTTTTAAACAAGAAATATAAAGCAATATTAAGACTAAACCTAAATTCAAACCCTTCCAGCCAAAGCCCTAGCTTTTCGAAGTGGGTGGGTGTATATGCTAACAGCAGTATATGCTAACAGCAGATAGGAACTACAAAACATGACAGAATTTATATAAATAAAGTTTTTAAGGGTCAGCTGGAACCTTCAACGAAAGAAAGAAGAGGACAAAGTTGTTTGTAGGTTTACTTCTACGCTACATGTAAGAGACTGCTGTATAAATTCTATAAAAATCTTGTCGACTTAGGTGACCCTATGAACCCATATATATATAACAAATTTGTTTCTATATATACTGTCACCAAAATGTTTCGCATAGCGCAGGCGATTCACTTTCCGTATATATCTTCCGGCATTTTCCACATTTAATTTGCAGTTCATTTACAGCTTCACACACTGAATACCGTGTCGCAACATCTGAAGAAAGTAGCAAGACATTTTTTCTTTTTAACAACAAATCTTTATGCTAGCCCTGGAGTATACTGCATCTCCACCAAACTGTTGCTCGAACATCCTAAATTCTGAAATAGAACATTTGACCTAGTATTAAGGAAGATTCAAACTAACTCCTCTAATTCTTTAGGTAAAACTGCTTATTATGCTACTTAAAAAGCCCTTCACTACCCCAGATATGAGACATTTTCCACGCAAAGCCTCATAGCCAGGGACTTTTAGCCGAGCAAAAAAGTGAAGCCTTGGAGCCAATGGCTTATAGCTGCCGGAGCTTATCCCTGTTTCTGTAACATGAAGCGGCTAGGATCGAGTATGTCTACTCCCCCTGGACGGGATGCTAGTCCATCGCAGGTCACTCCCCCGCAACTTGTTAGGCCTTTCCCCAACAGGTCGCCAGTAGAGAGAGAGGCACTGTGAGAGTTAAGTGCCTTGCCCAAGAACACAACACCTTTTCCCCGGTCAGGGCCCGAACCCGGACCGCTCGCTCCGGGGACGACCGCGCCTCCCATTTAGCCGAGCAAGCCAAGTATCTAGTCGTATACAATGAGAAATAAAAACCTTCTTTAAAACTTTCTAAGCGCTCGTTCCGCTCCTGGGTCCTTTCATGTTGGAATTCATCAGAGCTGGATTGACCAATAGTTATATGACTTCTCAGAGCGTTCAACAGCTGCTGTTCTTGTATGGTACTTTAGCTTCTTCCTTCTGACCGTCTACTTTTCCTGACAATTTTCTTCGCAGATTGAAGCACACTGGGAACAGCCTTGTATTGAATCTCAACTATCCAAACTGAAAATAACACATCAAGTGCATCAAATTGGGTGTTATATGCTATAATCATGCTACTACTGTTTAGTTGTCTTATGCTACTGCTTCTTATTAATTCCAAGAATTTTATATCCTATTTTGAAGTTGTGTTGGTAACCAGGGTAATATGTTGAAAGTTGTTAATGAACATAGTAGTCATATTACTCACTTAACCGCACATACTGGTGTATTGGCTTTGTAGTCGGACAACAACATTCTGCCGTTCAACTTCATTCTTAGCTGTGAAGGTGCCGGAGAGACTTCCATCAGCTGCACGACCACAAATCCCGACATCGACTTCAAATGACCCTATATTTACTCTTTTTGCGTCTTGTTCGACCCCGTACAATTCGCGTGAGCTCTTTTTTAACTCGGTCAGCTGCTGGTTTAACAAAGACGAGCGTACAATAGTGTGTCGCTTGTAATGGCACTTCGTGTGACCAACGCGATAAACCTCAATGACGCTGTCTATGTTAAAATGTGTCGCTTGTAATGACTGTAGTGACGATTTTTCC